TCTCTCTCTCTCTCTCTCTCTCTCTCTCTCTCTCTCTCTCTCTCTCTTTCTCTCTCTCTCCTCTTTTGCACTGCTGCAATAAAGACCTCTTAGTCACTCCGAATGTCCTGGTCACTTTCTTTCACTTACAGCAACCAATGAAATTATATAACTAGTCACCACTTTAAGGAGATTCCTGACCCCACAAATTTTTTAGTCAAGTTATCAAGGTCCATGTTTGCAGATAATCTCCCCTAATTCATAGAACAACTAGAAAAGGGTACTCAAAAAACAGTGTCCATCATGTCCCCCAATAAGCCTAAGGTACAAAAAAAAATGAGTCCTATGAGTGTCTCCAGCTCTTTCTTCAGCCCAAGGACTGAGAATGTGAGGACCTAAAGGAAGAGAAATGGAGATGAGGTAGGAGGATGATCCACAAGGAGAAGCCAGAGCCTGGTACAGACGCTGGCTCCCTGCTGCTTGAGCACCCAGAGAGCTTGGCAGGGCTTCTCAAAAGCCTCACCACAGAGGGTCAGGTGCCCACTGGAGAATCTGATAAGGCACAGGCTCTCACTGGAGTTGGCCTCCCTGAACACACTGAGCCTCCTGGATTCCTCCACCCTCCCAGATTTGCAGCTGTTGCAAAGCCTCCTTTGCCTGGGGTCACACAGGGAGAGAGAACTGTCACAGCAGGCTACACAGAAGAACTCTCAGTGGCACCTGGGCTTCAAGTTCAAGTTATCCAATACCCCATGGACATCAGTGAACCCCAGTGACCTCCAAAGGAGGCCAGAGGGGAAGGTTCACACCAAATCAGCAAGCACCTTAGAAAACACTCTCAGAAGCATTAAGACTTGCACTCAAATGTAAATTTTTCTTTGCTTTGCTCCTTAGGAAAATAACACCCCATTCCCTAGGGATTTGGGAGTGGGTGTATTGACAACTTCAAGCACAATTACTCTAATTTGTGATTAATTAGAATACTCGTCTTTGATTCAGTCTAGATTAGCAGATGGAAGAGCTGGGGATGTGGCTCAGTGGTATAGTGTCTGCCTGGTATGCCCTGAGTTCAATCCCCAGCATCACACAAAAACAGATTAGCAAATGGCTTGTGTTCCTTCCAGTCCTGCAGAACATGGGTCCTCAGCAAAATGCTTCAACTCCCTCCACCTTCCAAAGGTTTCTCCGGTGACAACTGCCAGGTGATTCAGAAGCATGTAAGGCTTAGGAAGTAGTTGATTAAAACCTGGGGCGCAAGGTGAAAGTGAGGAGGGAGGCACCTAGCCTCAGCCTTCAGCACCCCTAACTGGGATCCTAGCCAGCCCTCATTTCATCTTCTTAGGCTACTGAGAACATTTATGAGTCTTTTATTTACTGAGGGGGGCACACAGGTACCTAACAGTTAACTCCATCAGGGAGGTTGAATACTCACTGATTGACAACCAAGCATGGGCTAGCTATCTGAAGTCAGCCTTCTCTCTCTTCTTTCCTTCCTTCCTTTCCCTCCCTCCCCGTGGTCTGTGCACTCATCCACTTCTCAATGGTTCATACGATCCTAATTTACAGTGATGGAATATTGAACAACAACCTTTTTAAAGTTCCATTTTCCAATTAGTCACAAACTACTAAAAGCAGGGCTCTCTGAGGACCTAGGAATTTACATGCTTGTTGGGACAAAACACAATCCCGGACCCCTCATCTCTGATTTCTTCCTGAGCTTTCTTCCCTAGATCCCATTCCTGACATAAGGAACTCTGGTCCAGAAGTAAAAGGCTTAACTTTTGCCTTTGGAAATTGGAGTTTTATTGATTTGCAGGCTAAGATCTCATGCTTCAACCTTAGGCTGTTTATATTTGCTAACATAATTAAATCGGAGGCCATTAGGATTAGGCAGTGCTAATGCTCTGGGCTCCAACACAAGCAAACTGAACCTAACTCAGAATTTAAGAGAAAATTATACTTAAGCTCTGCCAATGACAGGCACTCAACTGACTTTAGTTACATTATCTCGAATTTCCCACCAGGAAGGTCCAAATAAATAAGGCAATTGCTCAAGCTTCAATTAATCTGCTTCCAAGTTCACCTGTGATAGCTTTTCTCCTTGCTCCTCCCGTGGAGCTCCAAACCACTTCTGGGTTGGATCTGCCCAGTTCAAAAATCACATTCTGCTCAAATAAACTCTTTAAGATTTCAACATGCTAAAGTTTATCTCTTAAGACATTAGAAGAAGTTGCCAAGAGAGAATACAGGATCGCTTCTCTAATAAGGAGTTTCCAGGAGGGCAAGCTGAGCTGGTTTGGTTTAGAAGGGGTCCTTCCAGAAGCAAAAAGCAGAAGGCCCTGGGAGTATTCTGCTATGGAGTAGCTGCCATACCAGGGGACTAAGGGTAAGACAAGAGACAGGAAGAGCCACTAGTTCACAGGGGAAAGATAAGGGTAAACATGCAAAATAGGGCAGACAGGACTTTTCTATCAGAACCCCTCTTAGGAGAGACCATGCGTGGAATAAAACTGTTAGTGTACTTCTTGAGGTAAAAGGAATATCAGAGAGATGGGCTCATACTTGAAGGACCAGCAACTATAGTCATGCGCTAGGAGAAGTTGCTTGAATCCACAAGGAAAAAGAGAGCAAGGGAAAGGAAAGGGGAGACCCCCATCCCAAAAAAAATTAAAGGAAGAGAGAGGATGGGGTGAAGAAGACTGTGTCCTCTGTTGTAATTTCTGTTATCCTTAAATTCTCAGTAAGGCTATTAAATTCACAGATGCTTGGTGTGGGTGGTGGTAGTGGGGTGTGTGTGTGCGCATGTGTGTCTGTCTGTCTGTCTGTGTTTTATACCCAGTTGATATGATGCAAAATCAATCCAGCTGATGTGGACTCAGAGGCTGGAGGCAGAAATGAATGACCAGGGAAACATCTCCCAGGAATAATCAGGAGCTTGGAGAGAAACTTTGGACTTCCCCAGGCTGGGAGATGGGGTGGCAGTGGGAGGATGCAGGAATGAGCCAAGTATGGCCAGCCCCCAGTGACCTGGAGCCCAGCTGTGGTATTACGTAAAATCCATCACTGAGAGGGAGGAGTGGGGGATGGAAGTCTGGGAGAGCCATTAACATCTTTCATTTGGGGTATTTCTGTTAATTCTACATCTTAATAATATTTGTGATAAAACTATTAATCCCATATTTTAGATATTTTAGGAGCACTGGAATTGGGGAAATATGCCTTCAAGCAATTTTTAATAGTTTATAACTTGAATTAATTTATGAAAAACATTCATAACCTTTTTTTTTTTTTTTAAATGAGGACAAGCACAGACTACTAGACCATCTTTCTTTTTTTTTTTTTTAATTTTTTTAATATTTATTTTTTAGTTTTCGGCGGACACGACATCTTTGTATGTGGTGCTGAGGATCGAACCCGGGCCGCACGCATGCCAGGCGAGCGCGCTACCGCTTGAGCCACATCCCCAGCCCCGATAACCTTTTTAATAATAACATTTTTTTACAGATACTATTGTTGACAGATACTATTTTACATGTTTACAGATACTATTTTCTTGCTTTTCCCAATGATGAAACAAGTACAGAGAGTGCTTTGCCAAAGGCCACACAACTAAAAAATATTAAAACCAACCAAGATTTGGACCCACACTGCCTGGCTCCGGATGCAGATGCTTAGCCATCCTGGGATTCCACCTGAGAATCAGGAGTTTTAAGCAAGGACAAACATTTTAATCTAGACTTAAATTATGGAAGCCAAAGAATCAAAAGCATTGAATCAGAAGTAGGTGGGAGTTCATCCAGGAAGGCTTCCTGAGGAAAGAGGTTTGAAGTAGGGCTTAAAGGAAACTACAGGAACAGGTGCACAGAGCTGCCTGGCACAGGCATTCCTTGTGGTTGGCCACAGAGCACAGAGCATAGCAGGCAGGAGCACAGCATCTCTGCAACACGACATCTTAGCAAGAAACAACACTGGCTAATGACCAATGCTGGTAAAGGTGTAGAGAAATGGATACCCTGTTTCTGGTGGCACCATAGAGTTGCATAAACCCAATGGATATAACTTGGAGATATAACTCACAAGCTATAAAAATACCCATGCACTATGAACCGGTCATTTTCTTTCTAGGAATCTACTCTTAGAAAGCAAACTCAGAAAATGAAGGGGAGAACTATGTGCCTGTGAAGTTTCGTTGCAATAACATTTGCAGAAACAAGGTAATTAAAAGGGTAAATAAAACTCGAACATTTTAGGGACATTCAGGAAAATAGTGCTAACGTTCCTAACATTAACATGCATTAAGATGAGCGTTATGAATACTATGAGGCAACATATAAAATGCTTATGAGCGCTGCTAACTATGCATATGTAAATATGCACATGTATGCTTACACCCACACAAATAGAGCTAGTTTTTGTTATTATCTTTTTTTTTTTTAAACAACACTACCCAGGGAAAAACCTAAAAAGATACTATTAAAATATAAAGAATAATTACGACAAAGTGACAGGACTATCAGGGTGTTTTTTCTTTTGACAAATTTCAGTTATGTGCTTGTATAATAAAATTATTTTTAGTCATGAGCAAACCTCACAGAAGCAGTGTGACCCCCATGTTGGCTCAGGAACTGCACACTCACCGTGAACACCTTCTCTGGGGTCCCCTTGGCCCTCATGTTGGTGTCATGGACCTGCTTAAGAATCATCCAGGCTTCATCATGTTTGCCCATCTGGTAAAGCCAAGGAAAGAGACAAGAAAATCCATCGTTGAATACGCTTTCTGTTTATTAGGTATATAGAGGGTAACAGAGGGTACTGAGTCCTGGATCAGAGGGACTGCACACTGACTTTTTATACTAGGTAGAACTTGGAAAAGACTAGGACAAGTTTCCATTCCCGGCCCGTCTTGGAAGAGAATAAAGTTGTGCTTCAAGGTGCAGATCCCTGGTATTATTAACATCATCACCTACTAGGAGTAAAACTTGCAGTTTTTTATAACATTGACTAGACCAAGAGGTAGGAACCATGTTCCTCACTGAGTAGATAAATCAAAGAAGCTGCATGTTATGGGTTGCAGTCCTCATCCCCAGTACCTCAGAATGTGGCCTCATTTGCAAAGAGGGTTTCTGCAGATGTGATTAGTTAAGACGAGACCATCCAGAAGCAAGTGGGCTGCTAACCCAAAGTAACTGGTACCCTTATAAGAAAAAGTCACGTGAAGGGACTGAGGCTGTGGCTCAGTGGTAGAGCACTTGCCTAGCATCATGTGTGAGGCACTGGGTTCAATCCTCAACATCACATAAAAAAAAAAAAAATAAAGGCATTCTGTCCATCTGCAACTACAAAAAAATCTTTAAAAAAAAAAAAAAGTCATGTAAAGACAAGAGACACACAGGGAGAATGCCATGTGGTGACAAAGGCTGTAATTTCAGAGATGCAGCCACAGACCAAGGGACAGCAAAATTGCCTGTAGACCACTAGAATCTGGAAGGATGCTCCCTTGCAGATTTCAGAGAGAGCCTGGCCCTACAGATACCCTGATTTGGCACCTTGTGCTTCCAGATCTGTGAAATAAGTTTGTTATTTTAAGTCATTCCATTTGTGGCATTTTATTATAGCTACCCCCAAAAAACAAATACATAAGAAAGGGTGAATTTCAAGATGATTCCCCACTGCATCTGCCTGATCAACGGGAGGCAGGAGGAAATTCAGTGTGGAGGATCACTGTGCAGAAAGCTCCAGAAGCAGGCAGATAAAAGGACTTGTTCTGTGGAAGCCTCAGAGTCCTTCTGCCCCTTTGACAGCTCCTGCTCTATCTGACCACTGCAAGCACAAAGAATCCCCCCAAACTTGGAAGACTCCTACAGTCATCTCTCAGGACCAAAGGGTAGTTTTCCCGTGGGGAGGGGCCTGCATAGCTAAGAGTCCTGAAGGCCCTGGGAGCAGTGAAGAGGTTTCCCACGGAGTTCACTGCAGCAACATAGGAAAAACAGCACACAGCTTTAAAGAGCCTCCTCACCATGACCTCTATGGGGAGTGGGCACCACCAGACAGCTCAGGAGCTGCCCCTTTACCACTGCCCAGCCTCAGATAGGGTTCCTGAGCTGCACTTCATGACCTCCTGGGCCCTGAAGTATCCATGGGCTATGAACCCACAGCATGCCCCATCACCAACAGGAGGGAAGCCACTGTCAGTTATGGGCTAATGTTGGCCGACATGGGTAGGTTTGCAGCATGCACTGAGGAGAGGAGTAGAACCAGGGCTGAAAGAAGCAAGGATGTGGCTTTTGTGCCATGAGGAAGCACAGACTCACCTCTAGCAGAAACCTGGGGCTCTCTGGCATGAACTTCAGGGCCACCATGGACACCGTGCAAGGCAGAGCGCACACAATGACAAATACCCTCCAGCTGTGGAAGTGGTAATTGGTCCCCATGCTGAACCCCCAGCCTGTAAAGAAGCAGAGGATTTCCGGCAGTCTTTCCACTGCAGAAGACTGAACTCAGAAGCACCAGCTCTCAACTTGAGGGTACCACAGTATGGCCTGGGCAGCTGGTTAACATGCCACCTCCCCAGCGGCACCCCCAAAGTTTATGAGTCCTAATTCTGGGATAGAACCTGGGAATCCTCTGCATTTGGACAAATCCCTAGGTCTAGATGGCCTGACATTTACAAAGCCTTGGATAAGAGTACAAAACCCCATATTTCTATATGGGTGCTTAATTTCAAGTGAAAGAATTTACATAAAAGATGTTCTATCCACCTGCTTTGACAAGATGGCTGGGCCCAGAATTACATCCACTTTTGCCAGAAGAACTTGTCTTTCTCCTCCAGCTCCTCTGCTGAACAGGGGCCCCATGCCAACATGTAGGGACACATCACCATGATAAGAGGGGACACTCTTGCCTTGATTCCTTGAATTCAGTGGAAAGGCTGGATCCTGATTGTCCATAGCATGATCTGATCAGAAGCAGGAAGTCAAGGCCCAAGGAACCCCTCATTTTATTGGAAGACCAAAGGGGACTTAATGTGGCCAGGGTTTAAGGATGCCTCTCACCCAGGTCAAAAGGTAATGCCAGGGCTGGGGCTGTAGCTCAGTGGTAGAGCACAGGTGAGGCACTGGGTTCAATCCTCAGCACCACATAAAAATAAATAAAATTGTAATTGTGTCCATTCTACAAATATATATATATACGTATATATATTTGTAATATTCGTATGTAAACATATATATATTTGTTTGAGTGTGTGTGTGTGTGTGTGTGTGTGTGTGTGTATATATATATATATATATATATAATTTTTAAAAAGGCAATACCAGCTCCAGGTGATTTCAATGCAAAGAATTAGGTACCACACTTTTAAAAACACTGTAATATATATATATATATATATATATATATATATATATATATATATACACTTTTTATAATAAAGTGGACTGATTCACTCAAAGTTCACCAGCACTGAAATGGAAAAGCAACTATCATTCTACAAAGTATTGCTAAAATTCATATTCAGAAGTTATTTTCTTTTTTTTTTTAATATTTATTTTTTAGTTATCGGCGGGCACAACATCTTTGTTTTTTTTTGTATGTGGTGCTGAGGATCGAACCCGGGCCGCACGCATGCCAGGCGAGCGCGCTACCGCTTGAGCCACATCCCCAGCCCTCAGAAGTTATTTTCAAGCATTATTTTTTAATACCTCATGGGTAGCTAACTTTTCTTTTCTGAGAAGCCATAACACAATAGGAAGACCCTGGACTTTTACAACCATTTAGATCAGAGTTCAGATCCTGAGTTTATCACACCAAATGATAATGATGGGTTTTCCCAACTGTAGAAGGCAGGTAATAGTACTTCCACAAATTTGCTAAGAGCAAACCCCCTAGCAACCCATGAAAATTCAACTGCTGTTTTCAAAATAGCTGAATGACATTTAGTATCAAATATGTTGAATAAAATAGACAAAATGGATGAACTTCAGCAAAGATCAGCAAAAGAATTTTTTTTTATAAAGAAAAGGCTGAGATTATAAAGTAAAATGATCCCACTCAACGCATCTCCAAAGACAATTCAAAAAGTATTTTTGTAAATCAAAACCACATAAATACATCCATTCCTAAATTTTAGAAGGTAATAATTATTTGGATATATAAGTTCTAGTTCTTTTACTTAAAACTATACTTTCTGACTTATTCCAGTGGGGGAAGCTTACCTCTTGAATTTTCATTGGCTCCCCCTGGGGCTTCTACTTGTTTGCCACAGTTTACTCCTAAACAATATGGGTGCTCCTGCGAGTATTTCCTACTCTGCACAATTAAAGGACTAAGAAGAAAGAAACCAGGTAGCAAAATGTGGGACTGTAGCCACTCAAGCATATTTGGCCCCAGCAACAGAGAACACACCCCATCCAACACAATCAGATTTTGCACAGCTTGGTTGCTTTTCATCTCACAGGGCTTTGTTTATTTGTTTTAATTTTAATTAAAAAGCCTTTCCATTCTCCTGAGAGTAACACTAGAAAGAGGAAGATAAAAACCATAGCAATATTGACACATTCTCAGCTCATGTCCAAAAACTGCTCTAGCATCATTAGAAGTAATGTTGATTAGAACTGCACGGTAGTCAAACTTAGGAAACCAGGAAAGGGAGCAGAAGCAGGTATGCTTATCAAGTATTCTGCCTCAGAAATTGTTTTTCTTTATGATAATATGTGTAAATTATCCAAAATCCATTATCCCTCATGCCTCTGTGGTTTTTAGGGTGACTTCAGTAATCTGCATTTATTGCATTCATTAGGCACATCCTTGGGACCTTAAACTGAATAAAATTAAATGGTGAACTGCCTCCAAATATTTGGAACAATATTCATTTGGAGGCAGGGATTGTTCTGTTCACTGATCTTTTAGCTTGCCCTACTTTTCTGTCAGGATTTCACAAACATCTGGTGATGCTGGCTACAATGAGAATTAATCTTCCATAATATATCTATCTTTTTCTGGGCTATGCCCATGAGATCCCAGGAAAACATTCTGAGTTTCGTAATTTTCTCACTCAATGAGTCAGTCACTCAAATTTCTGGTGCCAAGACCTCCCATCATTCATTCTTGCAAAAGCAATTATATGGGTTACACAAGCTGTACACAAACATCAGTCTCCTTTTTGTAGTCACCCTTGCATTTGTTAGAGGATTAATAACTTAAGCATATTGAGAAATATCATCACATGTCTGGTTCCCTGTGGACAAAAACATCTGGTCCTAGTAAAAGGAGGCTTAAAATAAATAATAATCACTCTTGTTATATTGTAATTCTAGTCCATCATATTTCTAAAATAGTTTTTCACCAAGCTAATGGCTATTTGATTAAGCCTCTATTTTCAAATACAGTGTCAAAGTCACAGATTTCATAAGGCATACAAACAGGGATACGTCCTGTCCACTTGAGGTAAAATATTTAACCACAAGCTCTGCCCTCAAAGCAGCAGTGGTCAGCCAGCAACCATGCGGTCCCTCTACCATGGGCTCTCATTCAATCCAACCTGAATTCTTTCAATGCTTTCTTAGAAATAAGGCACTTTGATACTGGAGTAAGTATAATTTCTAGTTTATAGTGACTACCATGGATTGTCGCCTGCCTTCACAACACCCTCCCTGCCCTTCCTTTCCCACTACGGGACATGAGACTGACCCCACCCCCAATTCCAGGGATGAGAAACTATATCTAAACCATTCAAGAGCTGCATTCTCTGTGGTATATTGATGGTTGAGGTAGGCACATGATCCAATTGAAGGGAAGTCAAAGACTTTCACTCATTGCTTGAAGGCGAGGGTGTGCTTCCTTTGTGCAAGGACAGTATGCAAACAGAAAGCCTGGAGTAGCTACTGCTTCCCGGAAGGAAGCTAGCCAAGTACTGGAACCATATTGAAAATGTTCTCGAAGATATTTTGAATGGAGTGGTTGTCCTCATTTCCAATTCAGAGGATTTGTCGCTGATATACAGGAATGCCTTTGATTTATGCGTGTTGATTTTATATCCTGCCACTTTGCTGAATTCATTTATTAGCTCTAATAGTTTCTTTGTAGAGCCTTTTGGGTCTGCTAGGTATAGAATCATATCATCTGCAAATAGTGATAATTTAAGTTCTTCTTTTCCTATTTTTATGCCTTTAATTTCTTTCGTCTGTCTAATTGCTCTGGCCAGTGTTTCGAGAACTATGTTGAACAGAAGTGGAGAGAGAGGGCATCCCTGTCTAGTTCCAGATTTTAGAGGGAATGCCTTCAGTTTTTCTCCATTCAGAATGATGCTAGCCTGAGGCTTAGCATAGATTGCTTTTACAATATTGAGGTATGTTCCTGTTATCCCTAGTTTTTCTAGAGTTTTGAACATAAAGGGATGCTGTACTTTGTCAAATGCTTTTTCCGCATCTATCGAGATGATCATATGGTTCTTATTTTTAAGTCTATTGATGTGGTGAATAACATTTATTGATTTCCGTATATTGAACCAGCCTTGCATCCCAGGGATGAATCCTACTTGATCATGGTGTACAATTTAGAGAGAAATAGAAGAAGATCTTAGAAGATGGAAAAATATACCCTGTTCATGGATAGGCAGAACTAACATCATCAAAATGGCGATATTACCAAAAGTTCTCTATAGGTTTAATGCAATGCCAATCAAAATCCCAACGGCATTTCTTGTAGAAATAGAGAAAGCAATCATGAAATTCATATGGAAAAATAAAAGACCCAGAATAGCAAAAACAATGCTAAGCAGGAAGTGTGAATCAGGCGGTATAGCGATACCAGACTTCAAACTATACTACAGAGCAATAGTAACAAAAACAGCATGGTACTGGTACCAAAACAGGCGGTGGACCAATGGTACAGAATAGAGGACACAGAAACCAATCCACAAAACTACAACTATCTTATATTTGATAAAGGGGCTAAAAGCATGCAATGGAGGAAGGATAGCATCTTCAACAAATGGTGCTGGGAAAACTGGAAATCCATATGCAACAAAATGAAACTGAATCCCTTTCTCTCGCCATGCACAAAAGTTAATTCAAAATGGATCAAGGAGCTTGATATCAAATCAGAGACGCGCCGTCTGATAGAAGAAAAAGTTGGCTACGATCTACAGTCGGTGGGGTCGGGCTCCAAATTCCTCAATAGGACACCCATAGCACAAAAGTTAATAACTAGAATCAACAAATGGGACTTACTCAAACTAAAAAGTTTTTTCTCAGCAAAAGAAACAATAAGAGAGGTAAATAGGGAGCCTACACCCTGGGAACAAATCTTTACTCCTCACACTTCAGATAGAGCCCTAATATCCAGAGTATACAAAGAACTCAAAAAATTAGACAATAAGAGAACAAACAACCCAATCAACAAATGGGCCAAGGACCTGAACAGACACTTCTCAGAGGAGGACATACAGTCAATCAACAAGTACATGAAAAAATGCTCAACATCTCTAGCTGTCAGAGAAATGCAAATCAAAACCACCCTAAGATACAATCTCACTCCAGTAAGATTGGCAGCCATTAGGAAGTCAAACAACAACAAGTGCTGGCGAGGATGTGGGGAAAAGGGTACACTTGTACATTGCTGGTGGGACTGCAGATTGGTGCAGCCAATTTGGAAAGCAGTATGGAGATTTCTTGGAAAGCTGGGAATGGAGCCACCATTTGACCCAGCTATTCCCCTTCTTGGTCTATTCCCTAAAGACCTAAAAAGAGCATGCTACAGGGACACTGCTACATCGATGTTCATAGCAGCACAGTTCACAATAGCAAGACTGTGGAACCAACCTAGATGCCCTTCAATAGACGAATGGATAAAAAAAATGTGGCATTTATACACAATGGAGTATTACTCTGCATTAAAAAATGACAAAATCATAGAATTTACAGGGAAATGGATGGCATTAGAGCAGATTATGCTAAGTGAAGCTAGCCAATCCCTAAAAAACAAATGCCAAATGTCTTCTTTGATATAAGGAGAGTAACTAAGAACAGTGTAGGGACGAAGAACAGGAGAAGAAGATTAACATTTAACAGGGATGAGAGGTGGGAGGGAAAGGGAGAGAGAAGGGAAATTGCATGGTAATGGAAGGAGACCCTCAGGGTTATACAGTGGAGGAGGTAGAGAGAGAGGAGGGGAGGGGAGGGGAGAGGTGGGGAGGGGGAGGGTGGAGGATGGGAAAGGCAGTGGAGCACAACAGACACTAGTATGGCAATTTGTAAATCAATGGATGTGTAACTGATGTGATTCTGCAATCTGTGTATGGGGTGAAGGTGGGAGTTCATAACCCACTTGAATCAAAGTGTGGAATATGATATGTCAAGAAATTTGTAATGTTTTGAACAACCCACAATAAAAAATTTAAAAAAGAAAATGTTCTCAACACTCCTTTGCATCCCAGGAATTGCTGAAACTTCACATTCTTCCAACATGTGATTCCATGATCCTATAATGATACTACAGTTAGTTCTTTTCCCTTCTCTCCCCCTCTCTATTTTATAGGTGAAGGTACAAAGGCTGAAAAGATGGAGTGACTTGTCCCATATCACATAACACCACTATATTGATTTGACTTTCATTCAATTTTTCCCCTCCCCCTAAAGGCTTTTCAATCACTTCATTTAAAGGTGGCAATCATTTCTTAGTTTTAACACATTTGGAGCAGTTAACAGAGGAAGTGATGTTATGTCAAGAATTGTAACCAAAAAAAAAAAAAAAAAGGCAATTTCTCACAAGGAAAATTAAACAGTACATTTGAGTAAAGGGTAGAATGCAGAACCTGATATTAGGAGTATACAATTATGTGCCTAAAATTATAGAGAACTGCCTAGTGCCAGAATTAGCTGGAAATTCTTCAACTTTATTTCACTATTCTTGTTCATATTTCTTCTCTGTTTCTGATACAAAACCCAACAGGTTCTCAAATAGTAGATATAGCAAAGACTACATGATGTTCTCACACCCTTTTCCCCCACATTCTGCACACACAGCTAGATTGTTTCCCACTGTCATTACAATAGCATGTGGTCATACCACAAATGTGGGGCCAGTAGAATATGAGCAGAGACTCTGTGCTCTACTTCCTGGCCTAACTTTTAAAACACCAACATACAAACATATAACTGCTCATATTCTCTTCCCAAACCAGAGACCTTGTGAGCCAAGAAGGTGGAATCACATGATGGCAGAGCGTGAGCCCCAGAATTACTGATGGAGCAGAGCCATCCACAGGATAGAAACACCAGTTGGACTTTACTTTTACTGTATTAAACCACAGGGATTTCAGGGCCTATCAGTTTATTGCAGTAATGCACCCAATATCACCTTAAACTAATACAGTAGATATTGTTCACTTTAAAAGCTTTCTAAAAAGATATAGAACTGAGCCGCCATTATCTCAGAACACCTAGCTGAGAGGATCAGGTATAAAACAATGAATGGGAGGTAAGTGTTGGTTATCTTCAAGGACAAGGTTAGCTAAGGGTCCTCAGGATTCTAAATCATGGCAAAGACGAGACTCATAATCCATGGTTTACCAAAAATGATTTTGAAGGATGCTGATGGCATGACCAGTTATATTCATAGTAAAATTCAAAACTGCTGCCTCCTCCCTAATTTACTGTTGAGAAAACCAATCGTAAATGTTAATGTCGGCAGATCTCTATTTACAGAATACAGTTTTTACAACTATCCAGGGTAATAAAATTGTCCCAGCTAAAACCATGACCTTGTCTCCAAGGGCTGCTTCACCGTGCAGCCAAACAAGAATGACAGCAGATACCAGAGTGGAAAGTGTGCAAGTGTCCTGCACCTGAAGGAGGCTTGGCATCCTAACCCCCATCCCACCTTAAGCCAGGGGCATGACCTTGGACAAGGGCTGCTTGGCTTTTGTTACATCTGTCATCTATAAAATGGGGTCACCAATGCCTAACCCTGGAGGGAGGAGGGCTGGAGGACATGAAGTGTGAAATCCTTTCAGATAAAAAGAAGGATAAAAAAGGGGAGATAAAAAGGAACAGAGGTAAAGAGGGAGGACAGAGTATACTATGTGTAAAAAGTCATGGGTGTTGAAATTAACAATATGTTCCTTAGGAAGATCAAAGTCACATATAGGAACCTTGTGTGAATACTGGGAATAAAGTTGAGAACAGGAAAGGTTGTTTGGGTGCAGGTACCATAGAAACAGGGCCCCCTGGGCATTTTTTAAGCCAATGACTCACCATAGTGTGGAATGATGCTCCAGGCCATGGCAGATGCGTAGATGCCCCCAGTCATCCAGAAGATGCCCAGCCAACTGAGATGTTCTCCACGCTTCTCTCGAGATAAGAATTCAGAAAAATAGGCAAAAACAATCGGCAGAGAGCCTCCAATGCTGCAGAAAGGAAAATGCCAGGAAAGAGAGAATCAAGTTATATACTGAAAATGGTCATAACAGGAACCAAGTTCCTCAGACCCCACCCTTAGGCCCTGTGGTGAAATAACCCAGGAATGTGACAGACCAGCCAGGCAGTTCCTCTCTACCTATGGGAAGCAATCTTTTGACTTTATACACTGACTTTACAATTGCTAGCCCTAACCCTTATTTTTTCTAATGTTCAACCTTAATATAGTATCTTGAAAGTCAATCACAAACAATCCAGAGCTTTCTGGAGGTAGCACACATAGCTAGAGTACCAAAGTGCCTAGACCCTTGGTCTCAGAGAGGCCAGCCCAAGGTCTCTGAGTCATACCCTATGCCTGAGATGAGTCGGCAGAAGAGGAAGGCTCCATATCCCTGCACAAAGGAGGAGAGGGAGGCGAAGGAGGCATTGATGGCCAGAGACATGCTGAGGACTCTCTTCCTTCCTAGCTTATCAGCCAGGCCCCCCAGTATGAAGGCCCCCGCCATCATTCCTAGGTAGACTATCAGTCCTGTAAGAAAGGGAGAAGACGGAGAGAAAAGATAAGACATTAGAGACCATTTGATGTTTAGAAAATCCAATGCCCCTTTTTACCCATCCTAGAAATTCTACATCATAGACACACAAAAAAGAAATGTGACAAGATATTCATGGAAAATTAACATTTCTGTACAAATATGACCTTTTACAAATGTTAGTCCAACAACAATAACCTCACCAATACAATAACTGTATACATACCAGCATAGATGAACTGAAGCTAAGACAGATGTTCCCCTCTTAAAGACAATTGTTTTAAATGCCTAATTCTCAAATAAGGGAAAGGCTGTAATTTTACTTTGAATCAAGAAAAAATGTTTGTACAAAAAAAAGTCCTCACCTTAGGGGTGATATTTAAGGAGAGAGAATTTTCAACGTAAAGTGTGGCAATGTGGGTAGGGGAAAGGTTGGGAAGGAAGGATATGGTACAAGTGTAAAAGAGCAATTGCCTACAGGGTCAACTATCATATTACACATCCACAGAGAAGCTTCTGGGAGCTATAATCAATGTTTAGACTTCTTAGGGGAATGTAACATAATTTGAATATAATGTGAGGTGTGTCCAATTTAATTCTGCATGAGGATATCCAGTGTTCTCAATTCTATTGATTGGAAGAGGTTGTACTTTTTGCTGTGTTTTCTTGGCAAATTTGATCATATAGCAATTAACCATAAATTTGTTCCATTGGTCTATATATATTTTATGTCAATCCTATGCTATTTGATTACTACAGTAATCAAACTATATTTGAAATCAGGTAGTGTTGATGCCATAAGATTTGTTTTTTTGTTTTGTTTTGCAGTGCTGGGGACTGAACCCAGGGCCTTCTGCATGCTGAGCAAGAGCTCTACCACTGAGCTACACCCTCAGTCCTCAGCTTTGTTCTTTTAGCTCAACATTGCTTTGTCTATTTGGTGTCTTTTTAATTTAACAGCATTAATTCTTCTAATCCATAAATACAGGGTATTTTTCCATTTATATGCTTCTTCTTCAGTATTTTGTATTTCAATATTTTGTAGTTCTCAATGTATAGATCTTTCATTTCCTTAGTTAAATTTATTCCTAAGTAATTTTGAGGATATTATAAATGGCATTGTTTTCTTGGTTTCTTTTTCAGATAGTTCTTTGTTAATTCACTGTTAGTATATAGAAATTATACTGATTTTTGCCTGTTAGTTTCCCATCCTGCAACTTTAATGAATTTGTTTATAAGTTCTAACAGTTTTGGGTGAAGTCAAAGAGTTTCCTGTATGTAAGATCATGTCATCTGCAAACAGAATCAATTTTACATTCTCTTTTTTATTTTTTTATTTTGATAATTTTTATTTCTTTTTCTTGTCTAATTGCTCTGGCTTGAAATCCCAATACTGTGTTTGACAGAACTGATAAGAATGGGCATTCTCACCTTGATCTTGATCTTAGAAGAAAGATTTTCAACTTTTCACCATCGAGTATGATATTAACCCTGAGTTTGTTATATATGGTCTTCATTATTTTGAGGTACGTTCCTTCTATACCTGATTTTCTGAAAGATTTTAATCATGAAAAGATGTTTAATTTTGTGTTTTTTCTGCAGCTATTGAGATGATCTTATGATTTTTATTTTTCATTCTGTTAATGTGGTATACAGTGTTTATTGACACACATTTGTTGAACCATCCTTGCATTTCAGGGATAAATCCCAATTGATCATGGTGTGTGATCCTTTTAATGTGATGTTGAATTTGACTTGCTAGTATTTTGTTGAGAATTTTTGCATCTATGTTATCAGGAATATTGGCTTATAATTTTCTTTCCTTGTAGTGTATTTGTCTGGCTTTAGTATCAGAGTAATGCTGGCCTTGTAAAATGAATTTGGAAGTGTTTCCTCCTCTTCAATCTTTTGAAAGAGTTTGAGAAGGATTGGCATTAATTTTTCCTCAAATATTGGGTAGAATTTGCCAATGGAGCCATCTGGTCCTGGGTTTTTTCTTCGTTGAGATGTCTTTGAATACAGACTCAAACTTCTTACTCATGTTTGGTCTTTCAATTTTTTATTTCTTTATGATTCTGACTTGGCAGATTGTATATTTCTGGGAATTCATCCATTTCTTCTGGGTTATCCAATTTGTTTCTGTAAAATTGTTCACATTACTCTCATGATCTTTCATATTTTTTATAATGTCTCCTCTCTCATTTCTGATTTCATTTAAGTCTTCTCTCTTTTTCTTAGTTGAACTAAATTGTCAACAAATAACATTGTTTGTCTTTTCAAATAACCAACTCCATGCTTTAACTATTACACTTTATTGATCTTTATAGCTACTAATGGGTCAGATTTCTCAGCTCTATATTAATTCATTCTTTCTTTGCTCAACTTCAGGACTGCTTGCTAAGTGGCTTCCTTTCTTCCAAGGAGATAAACAATTAAATGTATGATTATCACCAAGTGAGAAAAATGCTCCAATAAAGGTATGTGTCAATTGTTACTAAGACACAGAGAAGGAGCGGAACTTAGACATATCACACTCAATGTGGGAAGGCTCCCAAGAGAGTCATTGAGTTATTCTTGAAGGAAAAACAAAACCTAAGTTTCCATTCAGTGATTGGGGGAGTGCACTCAGGGAAGTGGCAGATGGCATGTGCAAAGACAGGAAGGCACAAAGAAAGCCTGATACCTTTGGGCAACTACTAGTATAGTCTAATGTAAGCAAAGCATAGTTCATGTGGGAGAACCCAATGAGGGATTGAGGCTGAAGTGTAGAAAAGAGGCCATAACATAAAAATGATAAATGGCTCTAAATGTATGTGTCTGAGAGAGAGAGAGAGAAGAAGAAGAAGGAGGAGGAGGAGGAGGAGGAGGAGAAAAAATACGCCCATGTATGGATGTATGCCATGTGTGGGTACACAAATGGATGCTTACATAGGTCCATAAATTGGAGGGAAAGAAAGGGAAAAATTAAAGGTGTAGTCCAGAGATTGGTTAAGAACCAATCTATACCTGCTCTACCTTGGCCCCCAACCTGGAGAAAAACATTATTATCCAATAAAAATTCATTTTTCTTTTACTCCAGTAAGGCAATCTTCAGCACCTCTGAGAAGTAAAAGCACCCTTCTAGACCCTACTTTTAGATTCTGACTTTGCCTGCTGCTCCCCACAAGGATCTGCCAATAGGACATGAGACAGAGGCTCCAAGGGTGGAGGAGGAAGAAAGGAACTGTGCTTTCTTTTCCTGGTAAGACTTGCAGAGATTACTTCTTCACCCTGGCAGCAGCAATGCCTTTCCAAGGCAGCAGCTGAATGCAATGAATAGAAGCCACAGTGTGCCCCACCCTTCTCTCCCGCACCAGCCAGCTGGGGCCCCTCTTCTGCAATCTGAGCTGCCGCTCATTGGGGCACCTTCTCTGAGCTGCCAAATTATAATAATTCCAATCCCTTCTCATGATTTCTGCAGCCCTAGTGGTGGTAGCTGCTTGCTGCTTTCACTTTCTTAGTGATACTTTCTAAAAATATTTCTCTTACACCATTAATATTTTATTCCAAAGTCACTAGCATGAGTTCTGTCTCCTAACCATGCCATGGCTGATCCAGACACAGGGGCAGATTAACAAATATTAGAAATCAGATATGGAATCCAATCCCTCAGCTTTACCAGAAGAAGAGGTTGAGCCCCAGAAAGGTCAGTGACTCGCCCAGAACCTTGACAGTGGATGAATATCTACTGTCACTGATCCCTGGTCTCCTGGTTCTGAGCCTAGTGGTTTTGCTAGCAAACCTCCCTGTCCAAGGCACAGAGGCACCAGAGAGAACAAGGCGAGCTTCTTGAATGCTGTCTTTGGAGGCTGGGAAAGAAGGAATGGAAGAAAAATGAGTCTTTCCACCAGGGAAGGAAAATGTGAAATTAACGATGCCTCTGAAATGGCTGTGCTATTAAACTCATTTAAAATCTGTCTTTAGCTGAAGAAATTAAGACAATAAATTTAGAAAATTAGAGTGCAATGGAGTTATCAAAAATTACATGAAGCAGATGAGGGGAAAGCTAGGAACTATCATCCTTCAATTCTGCTCAACAAGCTGAGTGGTATATTAGGGAAATGTCCCCAATACACTGAATTTTTAAGGAAATTAAAAACTATGGTTGTAACTTGCAGAGCAGAGAGGATGAAATCAAAGGGAAAGGGTATAGAGAGATGGGAAAAGCTCTTCTTCTCCTTCTCCTTCTTCTTCTTCTTCCTCCTCCTAGGGGCACTCTACCACTGAGCCATAACACCAGCCCTAGATTTTCTTTTTAATATATTAGTATTGTTTTGTTTTTGCTTTGTGTTTGTTTTGCAGTACTAGAGATTGAGCCCAAGGGGACTCTACTACCACTAAGCTACATCCTCAGCCTTTTTTATTTTTGAGACAGGGTCTCACTAAATTGCCCAAGCTGTGATCCTCCTGCCTCAGGCTCCAAAGTAGTTAGGATTACAGAGTTTTTAAAAATATTTTTATTTTAGTAGATGGACACAATCCCTTTATTTTACTTATTCATTTTTTTAGAGAGAGAGAGAGAGAATTTTTTTAATATTTATTTTTTAGTTTTCGGCGGACACAACATCTTTGTTTTTTTGTATGTGGTGCTGAGGATCGAACCCGGGCCGCACGCATGCCGGGTGAGCACGCTACCGCTTGAGCCACATCCCCAGCCCAACTTATTCATTTTTATGTGGTGCTGAGGATAGAACCCACTGCCTCACACGTGCTAAGAAAGTGCTCTATCACTGAGCTCCAACTCCAGCCCCTGGGGAAAGTTTTTAATTGGTGATAAAGCAACAAAGGAAAAGGACTACCCCTCCTTGGAAGAAGGGGGAGCCTGTGCTGATGGGAACAATGAAAGGAAGAGCCCAGTTGTAAAACAGATGGTGTCTGGTGGGTTCTGGGTTCCAGGATCACCAGCTGCACAACCACAGGCAGCCCACTCAGTTCTCCTGGCCACCATTGCCCTTTG